TGCCGCCCGCCCTGCGGGTCCCGAACCCCGGTCCTCCGGCTGCCCGGCTACTCCGGCAGGTGGGCAGCGCGGGGACGCCGAGGGGAGGGACCGCGTCCGCGAGCGCCTCATCGCGGCCTCCGTGCGCGGTGACCCGGCCCAGGCTGACCCCTGCGCCTTTGCCAACCAATTCCCAGCCCCCTGGCGCCGAGGCCAGACGCTTCCCAGTGCCCTGGACGGTAACCGATCGCTTCCTGGTCCTTCGCAGTCGTTAGCGCCTGTTTTCCTGCCCCGCTGACCCACGGAGGCCACTTCCTACACCACCACCACCACCCCCCCTCGGGTCGTAGCTGGCCACTCTTGACTTCCTCTGCCGTTATTGCCACTTCCCGGGCAGCCAGAGCCTTCTGTGGTCACATTCCAACCCCTGCTCTATCCCAGGGCCATTACTCGCCTCTCCTGGACCTTTCAGAGATAAGAGAGTGGGCCTTGGCAGTGCAGGGCCCAGCCCTTTGGGAACACGGGATAGGGGGTTTCAGGCCGCTGTCCGTGGTTCCAAGAGCTTCGATGCTCTCCACAGGCTTCCAGATACGCTTCAAAGAAACCATGAGAAGGCCCACCCCCAAGATATTGAGAGTTGAGAATAGATAAAGATTGTACAGGCCATCAGAGATTCAGTGGGGTCCTCTCTAGGGATTTCTCTCTACCAAAGGAGCTTTAAAGAACTCTACTGTGATCCAAGGAGGATGCCAGATGGCGAGCACGCATTTGAAACCATGTCCCCGGGGACATTAATCTTGGAGAAAGTGACAATAGACAGACAGTTCTGAAGAGACCAAAGGGTTGTCTTGTGGAAGGATTAGACCTTGTTTAATTTCCCTGGAGAGTGTTATGCAGACCAGTGTGTAGAGGTTACTGGGAGGCCAGTTTTAGCTTGGTGGAAAGATAAATTTAACACTGTGCCCTGCCTGTCTCTGGAGAGAGTAAGCCAAAGACAGTCCATGTAATTTTTTTTTAATTGATTTTAGAGAGAGAGAGGAAGGGGGAGAGAGAGAGAGGAACATCAACTCGTTGCTCCACCCTTTTATGCATCGGTTGGTTGCCTCTTGTATGTGCCCTGACTGGAGATTGAATCCACAACCTTGGTGTATCAGGATGACTCTCTAACCAAACGAGCTACCGGGCCAGGGCCAGTCCAGGTAGTTTTTGAAGATTACGAGAGAGAAGTATTAGAGTAAATGATGCCAGGTTCCGTCCGTTCAGACTCTTAAATCCCCTGATAGTGTGAGTTGTCTCTTGTGGGAGTTCGAAAGCCACTTTTTAAATTCTCACTATGTCTTTTGGAGACTTTCCCAACTCCACACTTCTACATGTTCAGATTACTTTTGAGCTGTCAAGGTAACAATTCCTTAATTTGAGTTCCCATTATTACTGCAGCAATGGCCTTACTTGCATAGCTGTTCTTGGCACCCAGAGCTTCTTTAATTATTTAACTTATTCTTCTGTGAGACATTGCTGTTCAAGAAACTAAAAGATTTGAAGTCCTGCTACCCTCTCTTTTTTATTTTGCAACTGTTTTTGACTTTCTAGAAAGCTCTTTTGAAGTACACCATTTGCTTAACCATGCTGGGTCACATGCTCTCTTGTGGGTTTCTGAAATAATCTATTCCTTGTGTTTATTTTAGGGCTAAGGCACTGATGTTTGAACAGGAAGCTTCAAAACTTTTAAAAGAATCCTCAGAGTGGCTTTGAACCACACAAGCTAGAAATCGCCCCAGAACAGCGCCTTCAGCATGCATTTCCCCTATTGGGCTTTCCTGGTGAGCTTTTTGAAGAGGTCGTTCTGTAGTGAGCCAAAGAGTTGATGCTCACAGAACCGGATTAGTGGATCTGACTTTTCTGGTAGAATCCTCTGGCCTTTTTATATTCTCTCCCAGGGTTCTAAGAGGCATGGGGGTATTCATGGAACCCAAGGGCTTGTCAGGAGGGAAGTAGCACTTTCATGCTGAATGAAAACTAAACAAGTGACAGTTGTAACTGAAAACACTCAAACTTCCCACGTCTGGATTCACTGGATCGGGGACACAGGAACAGTCACTGCTGTGGAGAAAGAGGCCATAACTGGAAAAGAAAATCCAAATAAAGAGAATGAGAGCAACTGGAAAGTAAATGGCCACCTCTACCTCAACAGAGACAAAGTCAGCTTCTACCTCAACAGAGACAAAGTCAGCTTCCTGGTGAGTAGCGAGGTCTGCTGTGGTTTAGTTCCTGGCCGGTTGTTGGACTGGTGCTTTGGGTTAACTGAAGACCCAGCCACATTGTCTTGATTTTATTAAGGGGGTAAAAAAAAAAGCTATTTCTTCAGAGCAGCTGAATTAAACATGTGAGCCGTTTCTCACCAAAGCTGATGTGTTGTAACTTTGCAAGCTTCTTGCAGTGGTCGAACGAGTCCAGCGTTGATAGACTGTAGAAAAGATAGTCATGGCCGATCATGCATCTGGCTTTGATAATGTGGGTGGTGGAGTCTTCGCTTTTGAAACACAAGAAATGGTTGCACTGCAGAGTTATACCATGAGGAGAGGTTTGGCCAGTCTTCAGTTTAGCTCTTGAAAGGTATTATACAATGTCTTCCTGCAGCTCCATTTTCTTCTCAACCCCAAGTGAGTTGAGCCTCTCTTGTAATTTGGTTCAGCAAACATTAGTGGAGGAGATGAAAGTGAGAGGCCTGGTTTAAGTAGACTGAGCAGGGTTAGTGCCTGGTAAAACCTGTGTGGAAGTCAACCAGATAGAGCAGTTCAAAATGACATCCAGGTTTTCTTGTGGGCATTTGGAAGAGACCCCAAGAACACAGGAAAGGGTAGAACGGGGCCCGGCAGTGGGGTGTCTGAGTTGAGCCTGAAACATGTTGGGGGGCTTTTTGACCTGGACCTGCCCTGAAGCCATTTGCACATCTGGAACTAAGGAAGGCAATTGGACTAGAAACTGAGTTAGAGCTTTTCATCAGGAAGATAAGGTGGGAGCCAGAGAGGGTGGTAGGGAGTCCAGGGGAGAAGAGCACAGGTGACAGTGGTCACAGCTCCTCCTTAGGCTCTAACCTGCTAGGTGTGCTCTAGGAGATTTAGAAGTAAAACTCAGGTCTGGCCTTTGTGGTCTTAAAGAGGGTGTTATAATTATGTTGCAGAGCAGACTGAGACTTGGTGGAAGAACAGGGTTATGGAAATCAAGGAGAGGGATTCCCCTGGGGATCGGCAGTTTGATGAGGGATCGTGGTTGAATTATCCTTCAAGGGTTTGATAGGCAGAGAGAGGTTCGGTGTTTCTCTGTGATCTCTAAAAGGCCCCATTTTTCCCTTCACTGAAACAAGCAGTTTACTGGATCCCTTTCATCGCTGGGACCCCAGTACACACACTTAGGCCCTCAGTAATGGTTGTTAAATGAATCCATAGTTCCTGGTAGAAGGGGTGTTTCGGGAGATCGTTGTGCCCAGCAGATATGAGGAGTGCATCTGGGACATCCCCAACTTACTTTGATGTCAGGGCCTTGAAAGATAGCTTACCAAACCATGTGGTTATGTAGTTAAGGCTCAGTATCTCAAATAAGAGGCGTCATCGTGGGCGCTCCGCGTTTCCTTAGCTACCTGTCTGTCTTTCTCACAGACAGTTTGACGGCTGGATAGAGGCATATTTTTAGTCCGACTCATCTGCATGTATGAAGTGGTTTTTATTTATCTGTAACCACTGGGTTCTTCTTCCTCTGGGGCCACCAGGAGGCTTTGCAAACACTGAGTGATGAGCTCTCCTCGGGCTGGGAATAGGGAGCTGTGCTTCCAGACACCCGGATCTGACCCCTGCATGGAAGGAAACTCGGTTCCATTCTGTTCTCTTGCCAGGTGGAATTATTTTTTCCTTTATGACGGGTCAAAGGTAAAGGAAGAAGGAGACCCAACTAGAGCTGGCATTTGTTACTTTTACCCTTCCCAGGTAAGCCCCCCCAGCATGCTGTTTATTGTTTTGTGGGGATCCCCAGGAAAAAATGTACACCTCAAAGTGGTGACTGTTCAAAAGTATAGGGCTTACACCGGGACTGCTTTCTTATGTTTCTACTCTCTTATACTTAGTTGTACTATTTCTTCTTGTTCTGGCCTTAAAATCCCCAGGCAGCTCAGTACCTCCGTCTTCTGTGGCTCTCTGTTATCATCATGATTTTCTCTCTGCCCCCGTTGCTCCCAATTTTTGATCACCTCATTTAAGAAAAAAAAAAAAAAAGGTTTTATTTAAATATATACAAAAGTAGAGAGAAGAGTATCATGAACCCCCAGGTGCTTGGCACCAGCTTTAACAGTTGTCAACACTTTGCCAATATTATATAACCCAGCCTAACCTCTCTGCCCTCCTTTTTTTTTTTCTGGAGTATTTTGAAGCAAATCCTACACATTGTGTCATCTCACTAGTATCAGTAACATCTCTAACTGAAAAGGACTTTTTAAAAAAAATTTTAACATCATGCCTAACAAAAGTTATAATAATTACTAACAATAATTCCTTAGTGTCATCAGATTTTGCCTTACTATCTTAGATGTTACTTAGACCTACCTTCCTTTCTTTTTTCCTTCCTTCCCCCTTTCTCTTTTTCCTGATCAGGATCCAAGCAAGGTTCACTGTTCCACTTGGTTATTTTGTGTGTTTAGTCACTTATACTGTGTGACAGTCCTCACCCACCCATCCTTTATCCCCCCTGTGCTGTTGAGTTACTGAAGAAACCAGGTTATCTGTGCAGTAGAATTGAGCATGGCCCACACTCTGGTTTTAGCTGATGACTTCCTCACAGTGGTGTCATTTAATGGATTCTACCCACCACATTTCTCTTAAACAGTGATAAGATCTAAAGCCTTGGTTAGGTTCAAGTTCATTTCTTTTAGGCAAGCATTCTTCATAGGCGGTTTGTACATTTTCTGTTTGTCACCTAATGTCTGGCTGCGCCACAGTGGAGTTAATGCTAAGATTGATTAGGAGGTCTGTAAATTTGCTCATGTGATTACCCTCTGGCTTGGATAATTGGGATTAATCTAGGCTGCTCTGGCCACTCGGCAGGGGATTTGAACAGGGATGAAAGGCTCGTGCTTCTGCCCATGCGCGCGGGTTCAATTATAGGGTATTATCCTAGGAACAGAAATGTGGTTCTGTGGAATCATCTTATGTGTTCACTGTGGTGCTCAGGCAGGGGCCAAAGACTGTGTCTAAAAACAGCCAGAGTAAATATCTTAGGCTCTGTAAGAAGCCACATAAGGTCTTCATCACATATTCTCCTTTGTTGTTGTTTTGACAACCCTTAAAAAAACATTCTTAGTTCATGGGCCGTGTAAAAATAGGCTGCTGACTCGATCTGGCCTGCAGACTATATCTGCCCTAAGGAATGACACAAGAGCCCAGCAATTTCAACTTCCTGTCTGGAATTTGCTGCTTTCCCTTAGACCCTGCTTGACCAAAAGGAGTTGCTCTGTGGCCAGATTGCTGGAGTGGTCCACTGTATTTCTGACATCTCTGGCTCTCCTCCCACTCTCATTCGGCTGCGGAAACTTAAGTTCGCTATCAAGGTAGATGAAGATTTCCTTTGGGTAAGTTTAACAGGTACAGCCAGTGCCTCTACTGTGAGTCGTTTGTCTGGGTGATTAGTATCATGATGAGAGTCATGCTCTCTAGTTCTTAAGCCTGAAATCCCCTCCCT